GCTATTTCTGAGGAGGATGATACCACTTGGTGGCTGACTTAATGCAAGAGAGGAGCGAGGTTTATGGTGTTGCCAATGACTCTGGCAAGGCTGACTGGGTGGTGTTGCAACTGTGTGAGATATGAAAGTCCAGAAGAACAGCCGTTCTTGAGAATGCTGACTCTACAGCGTCAAAGGCAATGAAGTTACTTCTGACTGAGGAGAAGTTTCATAAACAGCCTTGCAGGAGCGAGCAGGAGAGGACAGGGAGGCTGCGTGAGCCAGCCCCTCATTGGAGCAGTTTGAGGCTGAAGGGCGGGAGAAGGTGCAGTGGTGACGGGGAGTTGGGCATCAAGGTGCAGGGCAGGACCCTTCTTCCCACGGAAGGGACTGAATGACACTCGTCTGCAGAGAAGGAGCAGGCAGGAGAGAGGGAGAGACTGCAGGGCAGGCACAAGATATATCATCAGTGGGAAGGTCAGAGCTCAGCAGACTTATCAACTCTGAAATGTGGACAACGATGTGATTTCTTTATCTCTTATGTAGCGATTACCTGTTGACTGGAAGAAGACCAGATCAAATTTCACGCTTGACAGAGCATATTATAATAACTAAGAGCCAGCATTTAATATTTACCATGTGACAAGCCCTGGGTTAAGTATGTTACTAAAGTAACTCATTTATCTTTAAAACACTTCCAAGGTAGGCAACTATTTCTATCTTTATTTTACAAATGAGGAAAGTGAGGCACAGAGTGGTTATATAACTCTCCCAAGGTCACACAGCTGTAAGCGGTGAAGCTGGTATTCAAACCAGCACAGCCAGGCTCTGGAGTGAACCACCACACTACACTGTGCTGTCTCTCAATGAGCCAAGATCACTGATCACCGATTACGCATACATATCCTCATCAAGTAAGTACAGCTACACACATTCCTCGCAGCTTTAGTGGTCTTGCAGTCAAAGAACTAATTTTTCAAGTTCTTACCTGCAAAAGTCAGATGGGAAGACATAAAGGACTTCATCTTTGGTGATTAATGGGTGAAAAGAGTCTCCATCAGTTCCATTGATCATATTGCATTCATCAGCTGTCCACCAGTCAAGTGACCTGTTGTTGGGAGCACAAGAAAGGGTCTAGATGATCACACTGGATTTCAGGCTTTTTATAATGGTCAGGACTTTTCAAGACTTTACTGGGCGCTGGCTACCCACAGAATCTTACTCACATGCGGACACATGGGGTGATACTGGTTGGGGATGGGATCAAGAGGGGAAAAGCAGGCCCCTGACCCCAAATCAATTCTGACAGAGGCAACAGCCAAAAATCCCTCTTTCCTTCCTCAAAAATAAGAGTATCTTACACAGAGGTTTAGGAATATCCATTTGCTTAAAGCAGTGATCTAATTTGGCATTCACAATAGCCTTGTTGACAGACAAGCTCTAAACAGGTATGTTCAGATAGATAATGTTCATGACAGCATTAACTCCCCCATAAACAGCTCTCTATTACAAAATTAGCAGAGGACTTCTCTTGGGTCACAAGAAAGCTTAATATTGAATCGACTTTATACACACTAAAAGCACAGTTGAGATAGTGGGTTTTTAAAAATTAATTCCTTGAAGAATGGTACAAAATGCAAAAGACAGTAAAGGATGGGCAATAAATAGTAATTCCAACTTCTGGTCAAGGTGGCACTCTAAGTTCATGAACTGAGGGTCTCTTCCAAGTGAAAACATACAGCAGTGGTTGATAAAACACAAGAGAGATAACATTTAAAAGGTCTACACTCAAACAAAATCTCCCTAGACAATGAAAGGTGATAAAAGCCACGTGGTAAGTAGGGCTAAAGCTGCTGGTCCACCAGGCTGCAGGTCTGGAAGCCAGGAGACAGATCTGCAAGGCCAGCTCCTAGGTTAATGAGCTGTAGGCCTAAAATCAGGGTCTGGGGCCAGGGATCCTCTGCTCACTAAGAGAGGCAAGGAAAGCAAAGCCGAGTCACTGGCGGGCAGGAAGCCCCACACACAGCCTCACAACCTGAACCCAAGTCAAGTCGCCTGCTGACTCTTTGGCTAGGTCTGTGATGACCTCTGCGTAATTGTGAGGTAGAGGCCCACCATGTGTCCTGTTCGGGGGGGCTCCTGGGTGGGCTACATGGAGGCAACTGCAAAAGTGCTGCCCAGGGCAAGGTGAGAGGATGGACGGATGGATGGATAACAGACAGGCTTCCCGACTGCAATAATTCTGCTAATCAACATTTGTTTTTTAAATGAAAGAAACTTGTGCTAAGAGACAGGCAACAAAATCAACAATGAGGAGATGAATTCACTTTAAAAGAAATTAAAATAACTGAACAATCTGGCTAATACTTTAAATAAATATGTTGTTTAGTATCCTCAAAGAGACAAATGAAAGAACACCATCCTTAGAAAAGAATGGTAAATTCTCAAAAAAAAAAAAAAAAGAAAGAATGAAATAAGAGTAGAGAGATCCAAAGAATGAAAAAGAAATCTTGGGAATAAAAATAATTTCTGAAAGAAAAACTCAATATAGGGATAAACTCTAGACTGTACCTAACTAAAATTGTTACAAACTGAGAGTGAAATAAAGATATTTTTAAATATGCAAAATCTAAGAAAGTTCACTACCCACAGATCCTTCCTGAAGGAACTACTAATGCAAGGTTCCTCAACCTGTTAACACTTCGAGCCTGATAATTCTTTCTGGGGGGCTGTACACTGCAGGACAGCTAGCAGCATCCCAAGTCTCCATCCTGTAGATGCCAGTAGCCCCCTCCAGTTGTGACAACCAAAGATGTGTTCAGACATCACCAAATGTCCTCTGGGGGGGGCAAAACTGCCTCTATTTGAGAACCAACGTACTAAGGATCTTCAGCAAGAAGAAAACTAAACCCAAGGGGAAGATGTGAGAAGGCAAAATAATAATAAATATTTACTATAAAAATAATGAACTTTGTACTTATATTTGGCTTCCTAAGAAGGTGAAACAAGTGGCAGACAAGAATAACACGGAGGATGTGTGTGTGTTAAGAAATGGGTAAAGATGTTGTCTTATTTAAAAAAGGGAGATAATAGATAGCTTTCGATTCTGTTAGGAAAACACTATTAAATGTAAACTAAGGGTAGAATAGACATAAACCAGCTAAGGGTGAAAAAGAACGTAGAAATAAGTCTAAATATATCAAGTAATGCATTATTATATCATAAATGTATCAGTAATTGCAATACGTATATAAAAGGATTAAACTCTCCCATTAAAAGACTGGAAAGAAAATAACAGATTAGGTTTAAAACAAAATCCAGCTATATCCTGTTTACAAGTAAATTTCTCTCCCAGCCCAGTACCCAGTCATGTAGTTCCCTCTCCAAAGAAAAATTTAAATAAACTTTTCATTTAAAAACAATTTTAGCTTTACAGAAAAGTTATGAAATAATACTCCATACTAGTTTTTTGCCTGTATTCTGGGAAGCTTTGAAGTAAATTTAATGTTCAAGAATAGAATTCCTCTTACCATAGTCCCTGAAGAATCAGCTTCCTTTTCTCTCAAAGATTTCTAATTTCTATGACTTAAAAAAATCATTTTGCTTTATGTGTGGCTTTATTGCAAACTGCCTCAGTCCCTTTTTGGAAGCAGTTTGTAAGTCATAAATATTAAGATAAAATATTTTGAAATGCTATAATACTGAACTCAAATGTATTTCATCTTAAAAGAAAAATACATGAACAATGCAGAATCACTAAATTAAATTAAAAAGAGAGCCTCTTTCTTCCCCCCAAAACAAGGAATGATTGGAGAAGGATTTGTGCTGCAGCTGCGCGTCACTCAATGACGACTAAGTGGAAGAGTGAAATTCCCCACTGGCTTGTAAGTCACAACTGGATACGCTAAATCTACAGATCATTCATATTTAACTCATGGAGTACCTTGCCCCAACCCTGATTTATAAAATAATTCTACATATTATATGTTACAGTATTTTACATATTTATAGATATTTTTTAGTTTATCGATTTTTTATCCAAAAAATGACGGTGCTAAAATTTTTCTGAAATAATGCAGAAGTGGATATTCAGTTTAAATAAAAATAAAAAAATAATTACACCAATAAATCATTAGACTTACGTTTTCCCATTCCATTCCACAATCTTGGAAAAATTAAGGTAATTGTCCTCTCCGGTTAGAAAGACATAGTCTCCATCATTAGTCCCATTTTTCTGAAAATAAGTGAATACAGTCATTAAAGTAACTATGACGGTTACATGTATTAACTTGCCTAGGCTTATGGTACCCAGTTGTCTGGTTAAACAATACTCTAGATGTTGCTGTATTTTGTAGATGTGATCAGTTTACTTTAAGCGAAGGAGATTACTATGGAAAATGTGGGCTCATTCAATCAGCTGAAGGCTTTAAAAGCAAAACCTGAGGTTCCCTGGAGAAAAGGAACTCTCCTCAAGACAGTAACATAGAAATCCTGCCTGTGTTTCCAGGCAGCTTGTCCTATGGGTTTCAGACTTGCCACCTGCCAGCCCCACAATCACATAAGCCAGTTTCTTACTACGAATCCCTTGATATAGATACACAGATCTCCATGGATTCTGCTTTTCTAGAGAACCCTAACTGATACAGTAACTAACACATTTAATCTTTATGAAACTGTCCTGATTGGGCCTAATGGCTAGATGCAATTGAGCCAGAAATAGAGAACAGAGCGGCTATTTTGCTAAATCCTATATTAACCATATTATTACTTTATGGTTTTAAAAACTATGAGTCCTATTAAATAATGGACAAAGGATCTGAAGAGACTTTTCTCCAAAGAAAATATACAAGTACATATACAAACAGCCAGTAAGTACATGAAAAGATGCTCAACACTATTAGTCATCAGAAAACGCAAATCAAAACCACAAGGAGGGGGAAGGGTATAGCTCAGTGGTAGGGCGCATGCTCAGCACCCAAGAGGTCCTGGGTTCAATCCCCAGTACCTCCTCCAAGCAAAAGTCAAGGAATAAACCTAACTACCTCTCCCTCATAAAACAAACAATACAAGTAAAACCTACAATGAGATACAACTTTATACCTACAAGGATGGCAATTAAAAAACAGGAAAATAACCAGCACTGATGAAGATATGGGGAAACCAGAGCCTTCTTACTTTGCTGGTAGGAATGTAAAATGTTGCAGCTGCTGTGGAAAATAGTTTGGCAGTTTCTCAAAAAGTTAAACATAGCATTGCCATATGACT